ACGGCTTTTGTCAATTGAGGTTATGCACATATCAACTTGTTAGACGTGCGCATAAACAACAATATTAACGATGTCGTTGTAAATGTTAACTCGACTTATAAATACATGGACTAATTACAGTTTAATCTAATATATGAAGTGTTTTTAAATGTCTGCAAACGAGTTCAAGTTATTAAAACTTTTTATAGACAAGTATAACTTTACTTTTAAATTGTTATAAATCTTATTTTAAATTTATTGTATATCTCATACAATTCCTCGTAATTGTTTATTTTTATGAAATTCTCTTTAAATTTCGTCTTACTTCATCACGATATCAGTTTATAAAATAGGATTTATTACAGTTTCATCTTCATTAATTTTATCTATATTCATTATTAAATTAAAAAAATTGTATCAATAAGATTTGAAGAAACGATTTTTAATGTATTAAATATTCATTAATTTTCCTTTAAATTTCTTCTTATTTTACCGCGATATCTCAATTAATTTATGAGATACGATATCTCAAAGTTTAATCTATGTCAACGTCCAATTTTATTAAAATTAGTTTTGTTTCAAAAATCATACCTTCCAGATTTATTAATTTGAAGAAATGATTTTTATCACACTAAATTATTATAAACTATTCTTTAAAATGCTTCTTGTTTCATCCTGATATCTCAATTAATTTTTGAGATACGATTTTTTGAAATTTCATCTTAACTAGTTTAAAGTTAAGTTTAGCAAGTTTATTGTGCTAATTTTTAAAATATAACATTTAGATAGTACATTTTAAAAGATTTTTGTTCACGCCGTCTGAGAAAACAGCAAATAGATAAATATTTATCTAGTTGTTTTGCTCATCCTTTGAGTAAAAAAAAAGATATAACTACCTCGTGTAGCGCCCGAAATAAATCTCGATCTTATCTATTTGCAAGAGCAACGCTTGTCCGGTTTACCTTTAGAAAAATAAACTGCGATTAATTGCACACCGTATTATCTAATGTAAACTACTCTAATACGTTATCGAATTTGCGAAGGCCATATAGATAACACCTAAATCGGCTCCATCTATCGCACCCGATTTCCTATTTTGATTGATGTTTTTGTTATAATTTCGTATTTAAATTTACAATACATCACCTGATAATAATTTATTAATCAACGATTTTTTAATCAATAATAATTTTTAATCATTAATGATACAAAAGTGTAATTGTATGAACCAAAAATTTAACTATACTATCTTTGCTGTTGGGATGATACCCGCTACTTTCTCCATTTCAATCTCTAAAATTTTAATCCTTTCCGCTATTCTATCAACTCGTTTTCTCATTTCCAAAAGGTATTCTTTTTCTTGTTGGGATTTCGGACTCAAAGGATAATTTAGAGAAATGTCAGAGGATGATAAACAATGATCATCCTCGATGTCGCTGAGACTTCTTTTTCTTTTACCTAAAGCAATCATTGTTTCATATTTGATTTAATTTCAACTAAAAATTTGTCATTTTTTGACTTTCAAAACAAATATAGAAAATATAGGTTGGATTAAATGTATAGGTTTTACCAAGTTTTTATCTCCAATACAAAAAGAAATTGGATTTTCCCTTGCCTTCCAATTAATTGTTTTTTTTTATTTCATTATGCCTTTAAAAAGAATAAGATTTCTCTGTTCTTTTTTATTTTAAAATATTTGTTTTCATGGTTAATTTGTCACACTAATTGTTGTACTTTAAATAGCAGAATGGGTGGGTTTTCCCTAGATCTTTTGATTCCGGTAAAAAAAGTTGTTGAGGTATCCCATTTTTTTAATCGTGTATGATTCATTTTTGATTTATTGTTAATAAAAATGTTTTTACAATAAAATTTCTCGTAAAGAAGAATGATGAGAAGTTGATGGGAAAAGATCAGAAGGGAATGAAGAGAATATACTTGGTGATCGAAGAAAAAGAAGAAGAAGAAGGAGAGGAGGAAAAGGACCGAGATAGAGTAGAGGCGTGAGAATTAGAGTAAACGGTCGGCACACGGTGTCCGTTCGACGAGAGTCGTCGTCGTCGGGCGCCACTTGCGACGATTATGATCGCAAAAATCGATTGATAACTTATTGCCCGTTGCGCTGTAATTTTTCAGGCGGCCGCACAGATCGCGCGCCGCGGTTGCGACGACTTCTTCACCATCTCGCTCAACCAACGCGCGAAGACCTCCTTCTTGCTCGCTTCGTCTCCCGCAACACAGCCTCAATAGGGACGAAACGACGCTTTCAGCGAGGATACAACGAGGTATCGACCCAATTTGCAACATAGTAGTCCGGCTATTGAGTGGAGACCACCTATGCGTCAAAAACGGTTATAAAATGTTTAAAAAATGATAAATAAATTTCAACATTTTCATTTTATAGTTTTTTATATTATCATTTTTATGAATTTATCAATATTTTCTTAACTTTATTACGTTTTATTTTGCACAATCTAGATGAGACAAATAACAAAATAATATAAATTAGAAAAGTTTAGAAAGAAAAGAGCGAAGTATATATCAGATTCTACCTCAAGAAGCTACTAAGCTACAATACTCCTAATTAACAAGCAGAAAAGAAAAAAATAAAAAACGCTTGCAACGCTGATGCTTTCCTTCCAGATCAGTTCCACGTTGATGAACACAACAAGTGAAGACAGTGGCAATTATCTAGATGATCCCAACGAATTTCTTAATAACCTCGAACGTAACGTCACACTTTAAGCTGCAGACAAGATCTTCTAAAGCCGAAAAGGATATTCTCTAGTTACCACTGGTTCGTTAATTCTGCGCTGAAAAAGTTTAAAAATGCTCCATCTATCTGGGACATAATCAATAAACGAACGGGCAACAAATTATCTCATTGCTAATCCACAGTAAAATTTGACTCTGACTATGTTTCCAAACTATACAGTTCGAAGAAGAGGTACACTGTACAATCGAAGAGAAAATGATAAATTTTTTTTTGGCATCCGAGGGTATTCAAGAAAATGGAGATGCAGATCCTTCTGATCACTTCTAATTCTAGTCTATTCAACGCATATAAGTTGTATAAATGTTTATTTATATTTTCAACATCGACCTAGTAACTAGGATACAAGTAAACCCAAGTTGTTTTGCATCGATATATAGCGGTTTACAGTTCAACCGCGATTCAGTGAGAGGAGTTTTTGAATTTTAATTTGAAATTCTTTCCATGCAGAATTCAGATGAATCAGAAGCTACGGGAACTATTTTAGCGAAAAAGCTTGAACTTGTTGTTTGATACCATTACATTGACATTATTACAAAAGATGCGCATTCGGAAGACCTCAAATTCTTGGAAATATTTCTGCCGTAGAGTTAAAAACTGTATTTTAAAGGATGAACCTAAGTGATAAAATTCTATTTCAAAAACTTATAAATTTACTTATAATTTACAGCATTTAGACTAGACATTCTTGCAGTCAGCATTTAGGTGCAGTACACTGTTATTGATCTTTTGGCAGCGATTTTGGAGATGAAAATGTTAGTGGAGATACAATAATAGAAGCAAGAGATAAATACCGGGTTAAATTGATCAACTGTACAGAGTGTCCAAATTTCGATGAGCTGCTTTTTTGTGAAACTTACAATGGCGCAAACCAAATTTTCATAGCCCTCTTCCTTTTTGATATACAGGGAGTGTTTGAAATTTACGATTTTCAGACACTTCCTGTATTTCGGCTATCCGGAAACTTAGTAAAAAAGTAAAAACTGGTTCTAATAGATTTTTTCACGTGGAATCCAATGGTGCACGTAGAATTTTTCTAGTCATCACGGTTTTTGAGTTATAAACACAACTCAAATACTGAATACTCAACTTCTAAAATACTTAACTCTTTATAACTCAAAAACCGTGATGACTAGAAAAATTCTACGTGCACCATTGGATTCTACGTGAAAAAATCTATTAGAACTCGTTTTTCGTTTCCGGATAGCCGTATATTAAAAACGAAGAGGGCTATGAAAATTTGGTTTGCACCATTGTAAGTTTCACAAAAAAGTAGCTCAGGTTCGCGAAAGCCGCAACTTTCTATCTTTCATAATAACAGAGATGGGTTTGCAGGGTAACCCATCGAAATTTGGACACCCTGTACAATGTGCACAATATCGTTTTACTATAGCGTTGTCTACAGCACACAATAATAGACGAGTAAGTAGGAATGAAGAATTAATCAGTAATAAGTTTAATTATAGCAATATCAACGCTGACTAACCCAACCTAATTCATACATTGAAAGATCGTGCACCCCCCATTACACTATTACTAAAGTGAAGAAGTTTTAAACGTTCATAAGCAAACATGCGAAAGTATCCAGAGTAGGAAAAGTATTTAGTAAGCTTGTGAGCACTGATAGCAATAGCTATAAAAGAATCACACCCGAAGATTTTCGAAGAACGGAGGAAGATTACCAAACTATTTGAAATAAAGAAATTGTTGCAAATGGAGATAACAGCAGATGCGAGGAATTTATCAAAACTATCTGAGGTGTGTAGGTGCATGGATGGTGTTCATACAGAAATTTCAGGATTTTCCATGAAGCCTTGAAGGTACAAAAACTTAATTTTAGTAGCCCTACTTAAGATTATCTTCGAGATAGTTAATCTGTAATCCAAATTTGACCAAATCTTATTATTCTTATGATTTAATCAACATTTTTTTAAGTAATCTGACTGAAATTATAAAGAATGATTGAGTGATATTGGAAATAATGTCTTCTTAGAAAATACTTTTACAATTAGAATTATTCAGATTATTATCGAGTCTACGTTATTCTAAGTATTACTATTACAGGAAAAAAAAGCAAGGAATTTTTTATTTAATTATTACAAAAGTGATTGAATGTTATTTTTGTAAACTTTTTTGTTGAATAAGATGATCAAGATTTGTAAAGTTGCTGATGTCCTGGCGCAAGGCCTCCCGCCACAATCGGAGAGGTGAAAAGCTCGTTTCAGGATTGGTCGGTTTACTGTCGGTGGGTAGTCCTTCGTCCTTATGCCTTAGGGGTGGAGTGTTAGGACCAAGAAAGCCTTATCCTTGAACGCCTTTGGCACACACCGGTCCAAAGCGGCGTGAGTAGAGGGAGCTATATACAACGCAACACACACACTCTCAGCACACGCTCGACGGCGGGCAGTCAGTGTTCAGTCGATCATCAACGGCGACCGCGGCTCATTCACTTATAGAGTCACATGCTAATCTATAATAAACCTCGACGCGAGTTACATAAATGTCCGTTTTACAACTATCCGAAGAAAATGCGGTGATACTTTTTATACGGACCCCGCAGATTGTACACAAAGAACGATCAAAAAGCAAATAAAATTTTTTTTTTGATCCAGTGAATCCGGGAGATCAGTGAGTTTTGATTTTCTTGATCGTAATTCTTTACTTTTATATTTTAAAAGTTGTAAAATATAAAAGAGTTAATTTTTTTTAAATCGAAGTAATATTGAGAGATTGAAAAGTTTATCGGGGATGAAAATGACGCTGACGAACAGTTTTTGCTTCGATTACAACGGTTCCAGAATCGCCTCCAGGTCGATTCTGTTAGTGCTCTTGTGTTTTTGCATCTTCTTCTGTGTCGACGCCAGAGGCAGGACACCGCTCATCGAAGATCCCAGTCCCAAGATTCGGAATAAAGCTGCAGGTTCGTAAATAAATGTTTTCTTTTTACGATTTAAGCACGGCGATTTTATCGGCTCGTTTATATAAAAAAAACTATTTTTATCATGTAATCTTTCGATACGAACGTAATCTTTCAATTCTCAATAGGGAGAGAAGTTATCTGACTGTTTGGTATAGATTTTATTTCACGTGGTATAGATATATTATTATTATTATTAAATTTTAACTTAAATTAAAAAAAATATAGTAATTGTTATAATGAAGCAATTAAGCTCTTAACAAAGTTTGCAACACAATTAAGTTTCACCTCCGCGGAACGATTAACACTAAAAAAATTATGTTACATTTGCATAAGCAGAATGCGAACACAATTATTGTTATCGCGTAAAACTGCGTTTTATTATCGGCGCGTCCTGTATTTCTTGGTGCGAAAATCGGATGGGCTAAAGTATAAAAAAAATAGTAAAATCACTATTTTATAAATAAATAACCTAGTCACTACAATTAGTGGCGTGACGTCACTCGAACGATTCCAATTAAACCGTTTAACAATTATATTACGTTACAACCGCGTGTCCATTCCTAGATTTCAATTTCACAAAAAATAATAATTAATAAAAACATTCACCGAAACGTGCCTATTAGAGGTTGCATCATAATAATTAATTTAAAAAAAGTTTTATTTAGTGGGCCTTAAAATTTTAAGCAAAAATGGAATCGAAAAAAATTGTTACCCACTCAAACTTGCCTTAAGCAAATATTGGTGCACGTTGGTATTTTATTTTATCAAGTGTTTGGTACACGATAGACAAGTTTTACGTCTGATGTGTCAACAATTACAAACTGCTAATGGTTGAATAAACAATTCAATATTTCTTTCAAATTTGCGATTTTAGAAATTTAAAAAAAAAAAACGAAATTTATTCAAAACATATAAACAACAAAAAATTATTCTTTAAATCTCATATCACATAAATTTTTTTTCTAAATTTAATTCCAAGAGTATATGCCAAGCTCTTAACGGTATATATTTCACATTTTAATACTTTGTTTATAAACAAGAGAAGAATTTTTATTCGTGGGCGTCTGTTGCGAAACCCGAACGCCATTAAACCTTTATTTACATCGTAGTACGAGCACGTAAAAGTATAGGAACCAATAAAACATGATATATGATTTGTTCTCAACCGAGCTTTCGGCTTTCAACTCGATCGAGGAAACCTTATTTCGCATATGAAGTAAATAGACGCTTTTAATCGGCCCTTTTTTTTAATGTACGTCAAAATCTTTCGATTTGAAATCGTCGTATTTACGCGATCGGATCGCGCGTGAAGAGATGTTACGATCCTGTACACTGCAGCCAGTTCAACAATAATAGCCAAGCATTACTGAGACAGTTAATGTGCGTCGAGACGCTGCCCGTTCTATTTGGGTAAGTCGTCGTTCGCTATTGAGGTCATCTACCGACGAGACATCCACGGACGTCGTAACAACTCTGAGTTACACCGTTCTGATCAAAATCTGCAAACTTTTTAAAATAAGAATAAAACAACATTTTTCATGTAATTAATTCATCATAATGTTATTTAAAAATATAGTTTTTATAGTTAGAGCAACTTAAACGATTTTAACAAATAATTTATCATCATCAGGGTATCTAATTATTTTAAAATTAAGATAGAATATATGTATAAAGGTTTTGAATTTGAAGATTTGGACATTAAGGTGTTGAGATATATAATTGAAATTATTATCTATTAGCTCAAAAAAGATAATTCATAACCAATTTGACCACAGCTATAACCAAATTTTAGTTACATTCAAAAAAGCCCAAAATTTTAAAATAACCGATTTGATTTACAAGAATTAATTATATCATGGAAACTAATAGCGTTGCAGAAAAACATTCTTATTAAAAAATGTTCATGAGGAGCCACAATGCATATAAATAATAATTTTAATTTATCACAATTTATTAGCAACCTCACACACTTGAAATCATAAAGATTACCAAATTGAGATTTTGGACATTAAATTAAGTTATAACTCAAAAACTAAGGTGATGAGATTTACAACTAATCTCGAATGTGACAATGCTGGTGTAAAACTAGAACTAACACTAGACCTAGAACTAGAAAGTTACGGGTTTAGCAGTCTTCAGACGCACGGCTAAACCCGAATGTTTAGAACACTAGACCAACAACTAAAATCATTCGGGTTTAGCTCTTAAGACGGCTAAACCCAAATGTTTCTAGTTCTAGGTCTAATGTTAGTTCTAGTGATAGTTCAAGTTTAAAACTAGAACTAACACTATACCTATAACTAGAGATATTCGGGTTTAGCCGTACGTTTCTTAAAACGGCTAACTAACAGGCTTGAAATCATAAAGATTTCCAAATTGAGATTTTAGACAATAAATTGGGTTTTAATGCAAAAATGAAGATGATAGGAAACATAATTTAATTCCTCCGCAATACAAACCGAGCGGAAGTAAAGAGTCTAAAATCCTAGAAATTATGCTCATTGATTTTTTTAAGAGGAACCAGTTATCTGATTTCAGACTGTTTCAAAACTCATTCACTCACATTGGATTCGATAAATACTCATTAACCCCAGTCATGATTACACATCCGTCAAGTGATCAGGAAGGTCATTCTTATCTTTGTTATTATCGCCCGGTAAATCTTTGAGTTCTTTCCATCAAGATTTTACATATTTTGAATGTATCAGTTAAGATACATTTTTTTACGACGTAAGCAACTAAGTTTATTCATCAACTCTGATCGATATGTTGTAGAACTTATGATGTTGGCCTTGTGTCAGTTTGATTTTTCCTAAACCACTTTTGGTTGTAATTTCATGTTTTCAGGAACCCATTTGAATCTTCATTGATGACCCTTGAAGACAGATTTCTTCCTTAAATAATGTTGTGTTGTGTGTGTTGCCTACGTTTTTGTGCGCATCTAGCCTAATGTTGCAGATCAAGAATATTCAAAGAGAGAATTCAAATCTCATCTTCCAGGTTGAATAATAATAATAAATGAAGCAGTGATCTTCTAATTAAAAGAAAACACTTAAAAACAACTTGCGATTTTTTATGAATTTCGATCTAAAAATAATCTATTTATTAAGCTGTAAAAGATAAAAAAATTGAAGTGGATGTAGGCGCCAGTTGAGGAATACATATGTCTTAATTAAAATAAAAGGTCGTTTTTCAAATTACAAATGTTTGGTTACAATTTTTTATAAACTTAAATGTTTTCTAATCATTTTAAGAGCTCGACAAATAGATTAAACTGTGTACAATGTTGTCGTTATTGTTTATTTTCCCGGTAGCATGTATTAAACGTAAGTATTTGTTACGATTAATACTGAGAATTGATTCGTTTTGATTGATTTATTAAGACAAGTGTGGTTGTTACGTGTATAAATTAAAAAATATTGCATACAAACAGAAGAAACTGTATGTTCGAACTCAACCAGCTTTCTATAACTTTCATTCATTTTTCCATTGCCTTATACAAAAGTAACACTTCCTTTCATCACAAAATATATAGTTCATATAAAGAATTCTTTCGGAAAAAGAGAGTCGCCATCTGTTTTTAAATTGTTCTGCTTCTTAGTATTAAAAGAAAATATGAAATTTTCTTAAAAATCACATTAATTACGAACACAGCAGTCGAAGACAAGAAAAATCGCGAACCAGTTTAATGGACGGTCATAGTTTCCTGTATACGGTTGGGCCACCGTGACGGCGACTACCACCTTTGAGAGAGAAAAAGAAGGTTTTTAAGAAAACGTGCACGAAACGGGAGGTATAAAAAAATAATAAAATAAAAAGTTTGATACAGGACAGGATGTACAACAACATGATGGTGGTATAGAAATTAATGTATTACCGAGAAAATTGTGAATAAATAAATAATAAATACGTTCAACCTATATCGTATCGACCTGACACCGAGTTTATGGAGTATTTATTGTATTATACACACGTAATCTTATCACCTGTTTATCATGGAGAAGTTTAGAAAAGTAACGTTATAAATAGAGTACTCTTGTCGGTACGGTTGTTATCTTACTTTTACGAATAAGTTTCCGTACCTTTTCAAAGTGTATCATCATATACCTGTCTATGGTCACATCATCATTTTTGTTAAAATGAATCTTGTGAAGTAATGTCAATATTTTAATCAATTATTTAATCATATATTTTGACTCTTTTAATACTTAATTTTAATCAAATTTAAGTAAATATTGTATTTTGAAGAATTATAATATGATATTTATGTTAAATTGAAGCTTAAAAATTCTAGTTTATGATATGATATAAAAACTATAAGATAATATTATTAAAATTTTCAGGAAAATATTGTTAAAGACGATATTGGTAAATGTCTAAATCAAAGCATAACAAAATTTTGAAAAAATCATATTGACTGNATTAATTTTATCTATATTCATTATTAAATTAAAAAAATTGTATCAATAAGATTTGAAGAAACGATTTTTAATGTATTAAATATTCATTAATTTTCCTTTAAATTTCTTCTTATTTTACCGCGATATCTCAATTAATTTTTGAGATACGACATCTCAAAGTTTAATCTATGTCAACGTCCAATTTTATTAAAATTAGTTTTGTTTCAAAAATCATACCTTCCAGATTTATTAATTTGAAGAAATGATTTTTATCACACTAAATTATTATAAAATATTCTTTAAAATGCTTCTTGTTTTATCCCGATATCTCAATTAATTTTTAAGATACGATATCGTAAAGTTTGATTTTCATCAACGTTCATGATTATTCAAATTAGGTGTTTAAAAAATCATACCTTCCAGATTTATTAATTCGAAGAAATGATTTTTATCACACTAAATTAGTATAAAATATTCTTTAAAATGCTTCTTGTTTTATCCCGATATCTCAATTAATTCATGAGATACGATATCTTAAAGTTTCATTTTCATCATCATTCATGATTATTAAAATTAGTTGTGTTTGAAAAATCATACCTT